ATGAGGAGGAGGAGGAGGAGGAGGAGGAGGAGGAGGAGGAGGAGGAGGAGGAGAAGGGTGTGGGGGAGGAATCGCCTCCGTAGCCATTTTGGTTCAATATTGGGCTCCAGCGATCGTATGCCCCCGCTTGGGGCGCCGTCTCGCGATGTCATCCGCCGTTCCTTAGGCTAGAGAGAACCCGCTCGCGGCTGCCGACGCCGCCGTTCTCGTGGAGGCTGCGGTCGGCGCCGCGATTCGCGCCCCGCGCCGCACCGCCGCGGCGGTGGCACGCGCAGCCATCGCGGCGGCCGCCTCTGCTGTGGCGGCGCCGTCTGCTGCGCCTGCCGCGGCTGCGGGACGATCAGAGGCGCCTCGCGCCGTCTCGGAGGCGAAGCAGGCGCGCCGCCGCCGCCGCCGCCAGCGCCTCGCGGTGCGGTGTGCGGCCGAGCGTGGCGCTGGCGCTTCCGAGGCTGGTGCGGGCGGCGCCGACCTGCACTTCGACGGCGACGGCGGCGACGACTCGGTGGCGGCCGCGCGCGAGGGGTTGCTGGCTCTGGAGCGCGGGAGGCCGCTGCTGAGATGGATGTGGTGGACGAGGCGCTTGGCGCGCCGTCTGCCCCGCCTCCCGTCGACGTCGGCCTCGAGGACGACGACGCCTGGGCGGACACCTGGTGCTCGGTGAGGCGCAGTCAGCGCCGTGCCCAGGCGCGTGATGGCCCAGATGCTGGCAGCAGCTGGAGCGGCGGATGCGGGCGGTGTCCCGTCGGCCGCGGAGGCTGCTGGGGCTGGCGCTGCTGCCGGCCTCGAGGAGGCTGACACCCCCGAGGGGCGCGCCGCGCTGCTCTCAGCGTGGGTGCGCACGCCTGGAGCGCGGGTTGCTGCCCTGCCGCCGCGGGCCTCCACCTGCCCGCTGCCCCACCTGCGAGCCTGGCTCGACGCGGTGGTGGACGCGCCCGGTGCCCGGGCGGGAAGGGGAGGCAGCGGAAGGATCGGCGATAGTGTGGCGTCCCGCGGGGGGATGCCGCCGCCTGCCCATTCCCCCCCTCCCCGCACGTCAGCAGGCAATCGGTCCATTGCTGGGGTCGCCCCAAGAATGGTCTCGCTTGCTCTGTCCCTGAGGGGAGAGGACCTCCCAGCGCGAATGGGAAGCGCCGCCCATCAGCCCCTGCAGATGGTGGCGCAAGCGGCAGTCAGGCGCCACCCGCGTCAGAGGCGTCGGGGGCGTGAGTGGCTGCAGGCGCCATCCATGCACGCTGGCGCGGTGGCGTAAGTGGCTTTGCGGCGATGCGCTATGGCTTTGTCGAGGGGCAGGAAACGCCGAGTTTCTGCCGTGCCCACCCCCTCGGCTAGAGCCTTTCTCTCCCCTCCCCTCGGTGCGCCAGCTCCTGGTGCCCAAGGCTCCTGCTCTCCCCGCGCTTGCCTCCCCAGACGCCGCTGGCGTCGAGGAATCCCGGGCACCCCCATGCCTTCGCACATTTTCTTGACCTTCGTCTTCCCCCTCGCTTCCCATATTTTCCCATCTTCGCCAAGGAATCGACGATTCTTTGTGTCTTTGTGTTTCTTCCCCTCCTGGACCATCCCCGCGCGAGCGGGCGCAGATTCTTGGGCGCGGTGGCCCAGGGCTGCGTCTTGCGGAGGGGTGGCGTCCGTCCCAGGATCGGGGGGGCCCCGAGCCAGTGTGGGGACACGGACCGCGTGGTGACCTCGGCACCCGCAACAATTTCTCACCCCCAGTGTGTCACCGTGCGGTGCTGGGGCCTCAGAGGCCCCCGTCGCCCGAGACGTCTTCGGAGAGCGATTCGAAGAAGAAAACGGCCATAAACATTAACTTTTGTCGTTCCGCGCGGGCTTCTTGGATCCGCGCTGAGCCCCCCCGGCGGCGCCAGGGGGGGTCCAGCGCAGATCCAAGACATCCGCGCGGAGCGCCAAAAACTGATGTGCATGTCTTCGTTTTTCCATCTATAGAGTGACCCGAGTCCCAAAACCATTCGACGACCCCGAGTCCCCACTGACTCGCCACGCGGCGTGGTCACCACACCGTTTAGGGGGCCCCCGCCACTTCAGGACCAGGCCTACGGGGCCTCCTGCCCGGGCCAGGAGGGCCAGGCGGGGTCTCCCAGAGTCGGCGGCTGCGCTGCCCTATTAACCGCTGGCGCCCTGGGCCGAGGCTCGGGCCCTCGGGGCGCCAGGGCTGCCACCGCGGCCAGCGTGCCCTGCGTAGAGACGTGCTCGTGGCCGAAGGGCCTTTGAACAGAAGGCTTTGTGGGACGCGTGGGCCGAGGTTGGGTTGGCTTTTGACGGCCCCGAGGCCCATCTTGCATTGCATCGTGACCTTGCACTCGCCCGCCGCCCTGGCAGCGCGAAGTCGGTTGGGAGCGGCCGCCGCAGTTTTGTTGTCCCCTCGTTCTGGGTCAGGGGCGGCGGCCCGCAGGCCAAGGGTGGCACCATTAGCCTGCAGAAATTCGATAAAGCAGGCACTCAGGGCAAAGTGGCGCCCAAAGTCACTCGCCTGGCGGTGAAGAGCTTTGGCTTCGTGCGTCGCGCCGCCGGTTTTTGGCCCACCGCGTTTCGGCGCGACGCGCTGTCCACGTCCTGGGTCCCCAGGCGTCCACGTTCCGAGCGTTGCAAAAGCCTCCCGCCCCGCAGAACGCAGCGACGCGCTGCCCGCTCGCAGGGCACGGTGTGCCTCCGCCGCCGCCGCGACCCGCGGAGCAGAAGTCCCCGACCGCAGGTCAGAGCTGGCGCCGGTGCCTGCATAGGAGGAGGAGGAGGAGGAGGAGGAGGAGGAGGAGGAGGAGGAGGAGGAGGAGGAGGAGGAGGATGAGGAGGAGGAGGGAGGAGAGGGAGGAGTGGAGGAGGAGAGGAGGAGGAGGAGGAGGAGGAGGAGGAGGAGGAGGAGGATCAGGGGAGGCCTGGCCGACCCTGGGCAGGCCGACCCCTCCCGCTCACCCTCGAGGCACCTTTTCTCCGGCTCTCCGCGCACGTCCAAGGTGGAGGCGAGAGGCTCGTGGCGCCTCACCTGCCTCTCGTTCCTGTCCGCTCCGAGCTCGCGCTCCGTCCCCTCCTTCCTGCCCCAGGGATCCCTCGCTTGCCTGCTTGTGGGGGGGGGGGGTCTCGTGCGCCAGGATTCCCGACCGCCCCCGCAGGGTCCTGGCCGTAGGTAGGGTGTTGCCTGGGTTTCTGGTCGCAGCTTTAGCGTCCCAGCTGTGATCCGTGAGCGTTGTTGGCCACTGTTCGGAGCGCACGCGCCAGCATCATGAATTGGATTCGAAGTTGGTTTGGCAGCGAAGTTTGTTTGCGTCATGTTGGTCGTTGGTTTATCCAGTTGCATGCGGCAAACCCCGCCACAGTGTTTGTGCAACAACGTGACAGGAAGGAGGCTGAGTGTAGGAACAGCGCAATTCCAACGAATGTTCTGCACTGGGGCGTGTCGTGATCCCGGCCTCGTCTGAGTCCTGCATTGGGAGGCGGTAGGGAGGAGGAGGAGGAGGAGGAGGAGGAGGAGGAGGAGGAGGAGGAGGAGGAGCAGGTGGAGGGGGAGGAGGAGGAGGAGGAGGAGATGGATGAGGAGAGGAGGAGGAGGAGGAGGAGGAGGAGATGGATGAGGAGGAGGAGGAGGACAAGGACGAGGACGAGGACGAGGACGAGGACGAGGACGAGGAGAAGGAGGAGGAGGAGGAGGAGAAGGAGGAGGAGGAGGAGGAGAGGGATACTATGAGATTAAGAGGAACAGGCTTCTTGAGGCCTTCTTGTGGCATCCTGGGGGCCTCCTGGGAGCTTCCGAAGCGCTTCTTGAGGGGGCTTTGGGGGGACTCAGGGGGAGCTGTTGGAGGCCATTGGGCAGTCTTCAGGGATTCTTGGTCCGTCTGACGCCTATGGAGGCCGCCTTGGGGGCCTCTCTATGCCGTGTTGATGCCCTCTCGGGACGGTTCACGGTCGTATTGGGGCCCTCTTGGGAGTTTTGTCGGTGTCGGTTTGGTGTTGTTGGGCCGATTTGAGGTTCTTTGGGGGGCCTTTTGGGCTGTCTTGGAGCTATCTTGGAGGCCTCTTGGAGGCTTCTGAGACCGTCTTGGGCGGTCGGAAACCCGAACAGGCGAGAACCTCAAAATCCGTCAAACACTTACGGGACATCAATGGTTTGGGTTTGCTCGGTCTCTCCAGGAGGGCCTTTTGGAGCTCGCGTGGGCCGTGTTGGGGGCTTCTTGATCTGTCTTGAGGCTGTCTTGGGAGCCTCTTGAGCCATCGTGGGCTATCCTGGGCCATCCATCATGGTGTCATCTTGGCTGCCTTGAAAGCCGTCCTGGAGGCCATGAGGCCCCCAAAAAGACCTCAAGGCAGATTCATAGGCCCCCAAGACGGCCCAAGAGGTCTCCAAGAGGCCGTCCAGGAGAGCCCCATGAGGCCCAAACAATTGACTTTCCTTAGGTGTTTGCAGGATTGTTTGGGTTTTCGACGGCGCGAGACAGCCCAAGAGGCCTCTCTGTTCCGTCTTGTTATTCTCGTAGGGCGCTTCAAGGCCGTTTTGGGGCCTTCTTGGAAGCCTCTTGGGCAATCGGTTGGGTCCTCTTGGCCCGCCTTGGGGCCCTCTTTGGGGCTTCTTGGGCCGTCTTGGAGCTATCTTGGAGGCCTGGTTTGAGCCGTTCTTGATGTCGTCTTGGCTATCTTGTAAGTGACTTGGAGGCCATCTTGGCGACCCGGAGGCCGAAACAAGCGCCAGGGAGCAAGTTCAGGGGGAGCGATTTGTTCACCTCACGCGCCATGCAGGGGGGGGGGGCGGCTCTAGAAAGCATGACAAAACACTCCCAGAGGGATCACATGAGCATTCTAGCACACCCACTCCATGCAGGCACGGTGGCGGCTTGGCAGCGTCTGGTAATTCGGCACTGCTCCCGCTGCGCTGTGTCCAAGTTGCGTGTACCGAAGGTGGACGCGCCACTAGCTCGGGGCGTGACCCGTCCCCCTGAGCGGCTCGTTCCTTCCGCCCCCTCTTTCGGCCGCCTCCTCTGTTTTCCCCCTCCCCCTCCTGCATGGTGGCACAACTCGCTGCAGCGTCACCCCCGTGTAGGTAGCCCTCCGCCAGCGCAGACGACCCCTGCCTAGCCGCCAACGCAAAACAAGTGTGCAGAAGGTGGACTGGCAGGATGTCGTCGGGGTCCTGCATCGGGGGCGTCAGGGGGGAGGAGGAGGAGGAGGAGGAGGAGGAGGAGGAGGAGGAGGAGGAGGAGGTGGAGGTGGGGGAGGAGGAGGAGGACGACGACGACGAGGGACAGGACGAGGATGGACGAGGACGAGGACGAGGACG